CCATTTTTCCCTTTAAACTGTGGGTTTTCTTTGGAAGTTTTTCCTTGTACGATGTGAGGGTCTAAGGACAGAGGGTGTCGTATTGTCATACTGATATTTTGTACAAACTGTAAAGTCCACTGAGACAAATGTAACATTTGTGATATTGGGCTATATAAATAAACATTGATTGATTGATTGATTGACTAGTGACCCTAAACGTTTTACAAGTTAACTAGTGCGCTGCAAAAGCTCTGACATGTTAACTATTTACAAAAAAGAAGCAGAACTAGTTAACTAGTGACATACATTTGTCTGCACTAGTTAACTAGTAGCACTCAGAATTACTCACTAGTTAACTAGTAAAGCCAAAACGTTAACTAGTTAACCACAATCATATAATTTGTGTCTCGATTGCCGGTGTTCACACAAGCATACGCACACTCGCACCAACAAAAACACACACACAAAGCGGAACAAAGCAGAAACAGAAACATGTATTTTTCTAGGCAAAACACACACTGACTGACTTCCCACGGACAATATTTTAACAGTAGGCACTAAATACCCGACTGATGCACCTCACGTCTTCGAGACGTTGCTAAAAACATTGCAAATTGACAAGCTGAACTGACCAATCAGAAACTGGGTCCCGCCTGCTTCATTTGCATATTACTAGTGAACGTGTTGGCCATATGAACGGAAACTAGTTAAGTGGATACATATTGCAGCTTTCACTAGTTAACTAGTTGAAGCCTCTTTTGGTTTTACAAGCTGACTATTGAGGCTCAAATGTGCACTAGTTAACTAGTGAGGTCCAAATTGTCCACTAGATACACTAGTACAATTGTTTTTACCTTACTAGCTAATTAGTTACACACACTTTATCGCCTTAGAGGCGTCACTAGTAAACTAGTGACATGAGCAAAATGTAAACGTAGTTTTTATTAGTGTATTTTTTTTTAACATAAATTACATTTTTATCACAAAAAACGATGGACACTTCCATTGTTACATTTTATCTGGCAAAGAGTATTTTCAAAAACTAATCATATATTTCATTTATATTGTTGGGGAATGAGTTAAAGACAATATATATAAGGAATTGTGCATGTTGAATTTAGTTCTGTATTTTTTTTAAACCCTGAAATATGTCCCGGGTCAATTTGACCCGAACATTACCAAAGGGTGCGAAATGTGAACATAACACAAGGACAAACTGCACTCTTGTGCTCAGATATATAGTATATTTATATGCCCTGCACTCCAGCTTCATCCCTTCTCCTCACTATGGACATAGATGAATGCACCTGGTAAAAAACAAAACAAACGCACCCACAATGATGCAAGGATAATTTTCCAACACTACAACTGTCGTTTTATTGGTTGGAACGCGGGAAATCTGCAAACATTCATATATCTAGGAGCAAGCATCAAAATATCTGAGAGCAAGCATGCAGTTTAAGTAAAAGCAGGGCTTATTTGTGTGAGGGCATGAATGGTTTTGAATAGAAGCTTTACAACATTTGAACATGAAAAGAAGGAGTCATGCTCTCAAATTCAAAAACACACTACTGGAAAAAGACAGAAAAAAAGCTACATACTGTATAGGTGCTATAGCATCCCTCCACTGGTTACCTGTTAAATGCAGATTTGTGATTACTTTTTTTTGTAATGCTTTATAAAGTCATACAGGAGATGACACATCTGTATATTTCCGGACTTCTTTGTCCCTACTCCAATTCAGGCTTCTTAAATCCTCAGTAAAGTTGCTTTTAGACGTGTCACCATGTCTTTGACACTTCTAAAACAAACTTAAAGATGTACATATTTTCCATCGTCTTCAATGGTTTTACTTAGTGCCTTTCATTTTCCCATCGCTATCTATTGTTGAAATTGTTGCTCTGGTGGTTACGTTTTACCACACTCAACACTCAAGTCGGCTCTGGAAATTGAACACAAAACCCCACATTGTTCAGGTGTGGATCAGGTTATCCAATGTGTTTCTCTAAGGAGGTAGGATTGTTTGATTTGTGTTGATGTCAGAGGCCTGCTTAAATAATCCACAATGACTCTGCTCCCTCAGTCCAGGATATGTATCCTGTGGTGCATCTTTCAGAAAAGCTCTGATCTGCTTTGCCAGCTCATTTGTTTGTGTGGTGTCAATAAAGTCTTGTCAGCCCTTTCAATGCAGAACATGTCAAGTGAAACAATATATTACATATTAAGTTAAGTCATTTAAGAATATGACTATTTAGTTATTGCTGGAGTATGCAATTCAATGTAAATGAATATGCTATTTAAGGCACTTTATAATTTTCAGGTGAATATATTATCTTATAATCCTACTTCTATCCTAGCCTTTTCTTTTCTTTTTCTTGTCATTCTACATGGATGAAGCCGACCCTGAGCAGTGGAATAGGTCCGGTGGGCTCAGAGTCTTCTAGTCACAAAGCAGACTTGAAGTGTTCCCTCCCAGACCCTTCAGACCGGACACACATTAACTATCTGTTCATGTTGGTCACCAACTCTTTTTTTCTGAAATCCAGTTGAAGCGTTGTAAGTTGTAAGTATTTCTAAATAGGACATCATTTTTGAACTTTTGGGACCACAAATCTACTATTGTACAAAAACTCTTGTTAAATTCTCAACTCATATTTCAATACTCAAGTCATGTAAGTCAGATGTTTGTGTGCAAAAGTCCAACAATTAAGGGTATTGATCCTTCATTTATTTTTGACTTACAGCGGATTAACATTTCAGTTCCACAAATATGTTTTCCAAACAGAGCTGCTCAGGTGAGAATGTGAGCAGAGCATCGGAGCAGCTGCTTACAATGATAAGGCATTGGCTCTAAAACAACTTAAAATAAATCCTACACTTGTGTGTGTGTGTGTGTGTGTGTGTGTGTGTGTGGTCTAGCATTACTATACTTGTGGGGACCTACATCTGTTTACATAGTCACGTGTGGGGACTGGCTTCCCTTATGGGGACAAATTGGAGGTCCCCATGAGGGGAATCATTAATTTTAGGGTGAAGACTTGGTTAGGTTTAGGATTAGGGTTAGGGTTAGGCATGTGTTGGTTATGGTTAAGGTTAGGATAAGTCTCCAGGAAATGCATGTAAGTCAATGTAATGTCCCCTGAAGTACATGGTATACATGGTATGTGTGTGTGTATGTGTGTCTGTGTGTGTCTGTGGGTGTGTGTGTCTGTGTGTGTGTGTTTGTGTGTGTGTGGGTGTGTGTGTCTGTTGTGTGTGTTTGTGTGTGTGTCTGTGTGTGTCTGTGTGTGTGTGTTTGTGTCTGTCTGTGTGTGTGTTTGTGTGTCTGTGGGTGTGTGTGTTTGTGTGTGTGTCTGTGTGTGTCTGTGTGTGTGTTTGTGTGTGTCTGTGTGTGTTTGTGTGTGTCTGTGTGTGTGTTTGTGTGTCTGTGTGTGTGTTGGTTCCCTGCTCCAGGAATCCTGTTTGCTGACCTGTTTCTCTCTTTCATAACTCCACACTGTTACCTGGAGACGTTGAAAGGTCAGTGATATTTCCCCGCATTAGTAAGGGAAAGGTAGTTTAAGTGAACATCCTTGTACTAAGACTTCTAAGACTACATATTCTGTTCCACCCCGAGCCTAACAAAGACCTGAATGGAGGATGTGTGTTGTGTGACACTGCCCTGCCCAAAGATGTCACACTGGGAGTGTTTGTCTGCGACTTGGCATAGTTTCCATGTCCTATATTCTATGATCTTTTATCTCAGAGTCCTGGGCAAATACTCAGGGTTGGGAAGTAAAGTGGAAGCAGGATGTGGTCACAGCCTGCATGTGTGCAGCTGATCGGCTTCTCACACAGCTGCTTGATTGATGGACTACAGCTGAACGTGCAGAATTAAAACATCCTCGATGTGGTAAACCACATACTGTACATCTATTGTGTGCATATTTTCCCAAGGATTGCTGCTCAGACAATACCCTGAACATTATAACCTTATCAAACATTGTCTTGCCTTAAAAGCTACAATATGCCGGAAAACATATTTAAAGGTAATTCTTGATTTACAGGAACTACTATATACATATATATTTATATATACTATTTCCTTGAAATAAACTAAATGTGTAATCTTAGAAAAGGTTCCGTTTTTGGTTCGGTCAAATGAAATGCTAACTTATTCATTCAGTAAACATCTCACAATTCATGAACATGAAATATTGGAGGACACATGTGAAAAATATAGTTTCTAATCATACATTAATTTTTATTAGGTTTAAATAGATCTGTTTTTTTATCAAACTCAAATAACAATAATAAGAACAGTTATTGAAAAAAGTTCACAATGAGTAAATGAAAGAGCCACTCCCGGTATAAGTTTAACTGTTGCTTCACAAAGAGTTTGAACCAGAGGGTGGGTGCAATATTCTGTCCTCTCTGATGGAATTTTGTATGACAACGAAAATGTGGGGGAAAAATCAGCTTAGCAGGAAACAGGGACACAAAGGTCTTACATATGGGAGGATATGTGAGAAAGTTGGTTTGGGAACTCAAAGCTCTTATTGTTATTATACGATAATTACTTTCAATAATAGTACATTTATGATGTTTGGTGAAAGTGCAGTTTAGATAACTCTTAATATCAACCAGGATCAAAACAATGATTCAGAATCCAAGGATGAATTAACAGTGCATTCAGCATTACATTTAATATGTATGCTGCTTATTTGTTATTACATGATATATACATCTAAAGAAAGTCCAATTGTCCCAGACTCAGCCCTAAACATGTCCTCCATTTGATGTACCTCTGCTCTCTGATGAACCTTCAGCTACTACAGAGCTGTAGAGTAAACACCTCAAACAAATTGACCAATCGGAATTGAATATTAAACTAAGCCATGTAATAATTTATTTTGAATCAATTAAAACGGGGTTTATTGTAGACATTTGATTTAGATTTCATTTCAAAGGGTGCACTTCTCACATTGACAGATCCTCACACTCACACACTGTGCATAGAAAACAAGACATACTCAGCCTGCAGTACTGTATGATCTTTATTAAAGAGATATATGTGGGTTTATAATTGTATCAGCCCTAATACATGAGACATAAATAGAGGAAAATGTATGCAGATGATGCCTGGTTTTGGCCTTATCTCCTGCGTCGGCGAGAGCCGGCAGCTGGAGCAGAGGTCTGCCCGCGGCGCACCACAGAGCAGTCGGTGTCCAGGCAGGCGCAGGTCTCGATGTGGGTGTAGCTGAAGCTGATCTCTGTGCTGTCGGGGCAGGAGAGCTGGATCTGCCTCTCAGACGTAGCCACCTCCTGGCAGCAGGAGCAGGTGTGCTGCAGAGCTCGCATTTTGGTAGAGTAACTGAGGAGAGAGTGGAACCATGTGTGAAGATAGAGGTGACAGGAAAAAAGCTAAATAATGTAATATATTTAATGATCAGTGCACTACTCTAAGCTTCATCAGAGGCAATAACAATGATGATGTCATAGCGAAAGTACAAAGCCTGAGATTATTATTACTTGTTTTATTAAAGAACAAAACCTCTGCTCAAATCTCCAAAACTCTAAACACATGTTCAGCTCTGCAATACATTTGCAAAACACTGCACACGGTTCTCTAAGTAAGAAAACCTGACAAATTCACTTGTTTGCAGTTTTTTTTCTATTTCCTCAAAGTTTCCTTTCACTTTACTATTGATTTGACAGAGTCATCATTTTTATCTATGTGGTGTGCTTGAATATTGCACCAAAGAAAAAATAATAACAGGGTGTTTCTGCACATATTTTTGTAGACCCGAACAATCTTTATAGGCAACATTCTCTACAGCAGGGGTCTCCAACCTTTCTCCATCTGAGAGCTACTTTGAAAAAATGAAAGTGGCCAAGAGCTACTTGCATCACAGTGCTTACATGTATTCACATAGCACTCATCAGTTGAATTAAGCTACTTTTGTACACGTGTGAAATTGCAATACCCAAAGCTTAACTTCACATCAAGGTTCCAGAAAATGACAATTTCTCATATATTATTATGGCCCACATAGTAAGTACTTCACTGAAGATTCACATACATGTCCAAGAGAAAAATACATTTGTTTAACTTCTTATTACTTATTTCACGTAGTAAATACATCGCCTTAATCACCACCGTACAAGCATCTTATGGCACATGTGTAAAATAAGTGCATTCACTCTTTTTCACAGTCAGTGAGATGACTGGCGCTGCACGGAGTCCACCATCGAGGGGTCTGTTGGAGTGTACCCGCTTATGGCGTATTTCTAACACGGCGCGGAGCGCGGTTTAAGCGTGCCGTGCCGGGCCCTTTTTGGTTGCGTTTCCACTATGCCTAGTTCCGGCCCGAGGCTACTTTTTCACCCTTTTTCTGGCCCGACAAAATCGTGGTTCTATCGGGGCCAACAACCAGACTGAGTCGGGCTGAGTCGGCTAAACTAGAGAGAGAATCGCTGGCAAGGGAGCTACAACTACAACAAGATGAACATATTTGACCGTGATTTAATTGTAATACGTTTCAACATGATGCCGAAGTAACAACATACTGATACCGGTTAGTAAAAACCATGAATTAATGCTTTGACAAGTCTGCAGACAGACGGCAGGCGAACAACCTTTTAAAATGCGTGATGCATCTTCTTATTACAGACACGTGCATTTCCAAACATTCGGTCTACCTACGCTGTCAAATGTATTATCTCTTCGATTTACACACGGCATCTATTGCACGTCTGTACGTCCTGGGAGAGGGATCCCTCCTCTGTTGCTCTCCCTGAGGTTTCTCCCATTTTTCCCTTTAAACTGTGGGTTTTCTCTGGAAGTTTTTCCTTGTACGATGTGAGGGTCTAAGGCAGTGGTTCTCAAACTTTTTCTGTCAGGCCCCCCCTTTGGAGAAAAAAAAAAGTCGGGCCCCCCCAACACAAATAGTCAGGCTCGGTGGCAGCGCCAGATATTTATTTTGGGGGTGCTGTGGGGTAGCTTGACGTTTCATAGAGGGTGCTCAAACATTTAGGGTTTCCCATTAATGTACCGGTCGCTACAGTGGAATGTTCTACTGCAACAATCCCCACGCAAATACACAACGTACCCGCAACTGTTACAATGAAGGCTCGATAATCAGCTCACGGCATATAGGTGTAAGCAGGGGTAAAGTGCTATTTTATAGGTGGTGTGTGGACCTCACATAGGGGGGTCCAGGGGCATGCTCCCCCGGGAAGATTTATTTTTAAATATTGAAATTAAACGCATCAATCTGGTGCACTTTGAGAGCAAAATGAATAGATCTATGGATACATCTCTCAACACCCATTTGAAACAGAAACAGATTTACTTTTTCTTTATGTATATTTTACAAATCACCCTTTTAAACGTTATTCTTGTTTTACTGTCATATAGTATTTCATACCTGTTTTTTATTTATTCTCTTATTTTTTTATAACTATAATGATCATATAAACGTGTGCCTCGGAAATAATTGTTTACATTAATGGTGACCAAAACATTTGAGACCCACTGAGATAACACTGAGAGTCCTTTAGCTCACTGAGTGTCTCAGTCTGACAGGAGAGGACTCTCCTCCACTTTGTTTTGTGCACTCCTTATATCCTATATCCTAGCCTCCCTATATCTGTGTGTGAAATTGTTCCATCCTGAAAAACTCAAAACTAATGCTTCTGCAGTCCCTGAATTGTGTTTAGTGTTTTGAGAAAATAAGTTTCCAAAAAACGTGTTTTATCAATTGAAAAAAATGTATTATTATTTGTACCCATCCTGGGACAATGACATGAGGGGGACTTACAAGCTGAAGGTTCCACATGCTCCGGCGCAGGACGTGACATTGACAACCTCTTTGGAGTGGCAGCCCTGGCTCTCCACGGTCACAGCAGTGCTGCTCACACTGCAGGGCTGACCTCTGTGAATACCTGAGGCAGGACAGAGGAGGGATGAGATCATTCTATCTGACCTGGTTTACACATTCATAGCAGCTGTATACCCTGGAGGCTACTTCTCCTGCTTTGATGGTAGCAGGTCATGGTTGAAAAGTAATTTCTTTTAGTAAAACAAATCTCTTTGTTCAACATGAGTACTTATGTGAGCTCCTAGCTGTCAGGTAACTTCCCTGGATCAATACCAACACTAGTTGTTGAATGGCCTGCTGATCACAATGCTTCTGAATGGTTCAATCATAAGTTGACATCAATGTGAAGCAGAGAGAAAGGAGGGCCGGCTAAATAGTGTGCAGGTTCATGAAAGCAATACATACAGGTGTGGCAGCATCCGTCTGGAGCGACGGTCTCAGTTCCCTGCAGGAGACACACAATCAGATCACATCAGTATACTGCTGCTTCTCATAGTGTGTGTGTGTGTGTGTGTGTGTGTGTGTGTGTGTGTGTGTGTGTGTGTGTGTGTGTGTGTGTGTGTGTGTGTGTGTGTGTGTGTGTGTGTGTGTGTGTGTGTGTGTGTGTGTGTGTGTGTGTGTGTGTGTGTGTGTGTGTGTGTGTGTGTCAGTTACCGGTATGCATTTTGCAGGGTCGTAGGGAGGACACATGGTCTTGGCCTCAATAGTAATGAAGTGATTAGCAATCTTCACACACTCAAACTTCACACAGGGGTTCCCAGCGGGACTCCAAAGGGTTCCAGGCTAAGGAATCAAATCAAATAATTGTATTTTTTGTAAAACAGTCTCTCAAAGAGCGCTTCATCAGAGTCATCTGAACTTCATATGTGGAATGTTGCCTTGTCTGCTCTTTCTTTCAATGTGTGTGTGTCATGGAGTAAAGATCTAGTGGCATGACCGGAAAAACGTGAAGCAATGTCACACCAGGGGTTATGTTTGTTTATTTAAGTTTTTACGCTAAATATATTGCTAAATATATTCCAAAACACAGCATGGTTGGCATTAACCAAAAGCAAACAAAAAATGAATGTTGATGACGTCACAGAATCATCACATCTAACCTCTTTCACTCTCTCTCTCCAAACGAACAGCGCATGCACACACACAGATACTAACCTTTAATGCGTGTGTGGAGTTGGGCAATGCGACAACGCAGCCGACCTGGACACACTGTCCACAGCACTGAGCAGGGCTGAGCTGGTACTCATAACCCTGAACAGAAACACAAAGACTCATTTAGCACAGAAAAACAATTAACATAATACAAGCTGCTGGAGATCTGATATTAACATCTGAAAATGTGCAGTGTGAGAACATTGCAATTTGGATTCAGGCTTGACATTAGTAGTCTGTTTGGTTACAGTATTGCTAAGTTGTATTAAATATTTACAGTGGCAGTAAAGATCAAAACTAAAGCTTGGGCAAATACAGAACACTTAACCTTGTCTATGTGTGTGGCTGGTGTGAAGACAAATGTGTGTCCTAGCACAAGTCATGAAAATGGCCTATAACTGGATTCACTAAGTGTACTAGATGGTTTTAAATCCAATGTGGAAGTGTTCTGTTTTTCTTTTGCTTATCCCATATTTTATGATTGAACCTACAATCAAAGCAGAACAGAAAAGTCCACTTCAGAGCTCAGTTCTTATGGGCACTAATGTGGATTGAAAAATGACAAACAGTGCTTTCCTTTACCATTGAAAAAAGAAGATGAATGTTTCTTGGATAGAATGTGATTAATTATCATAATTAATGTCATAGAACCTAGGTAGCATGAACTTAAAAACAAATATGTATGAGGGAGCGATGTGGGTCAAATATCCAAGAGGGCACCAGATTCCATCACCCCGAAATAAAGTTGACCAAAACTATGACTTAAGTCAGTTAAGGAAACACATAACTGTATGGTCTGGCAAGTACACAGCCTACCAGCAAACACTGTGCACAGTTTAAAAACATGTCAACAATTGATTGGATGTTGAACATCTTACCACAGGGCAGTGTGTGTCACATGGTAATGGCTGACAGTCTATAATGTTCAGGTGGCTGCTGGCATTTGTCCGGGAACTACATATGCACATCTCACATGACTTCATGGGCACTGAGTCTCCAACCTGGGTAGACAGGGTGAGCAGTCAGCAAGAAGACATTTCCTCTCTTATGCAGTCCTCAGTAATACACATATAGTTATACGTTCATACCTCCAAAGTTAATTACTGTATTGTTGAGTTGTGTTTTATAAGTGTAACTGGAAAAGTGGCAACAAACATATGTTCACAATTGACCTCTGTATCGATGGAAAGAGGACTCAAACATGAACCAGCTCCTCGTTGATATTTTATGGCTTATGAATTCAACTTTGCATTTGTAAGAGAGACTGCATATGATGCAAGACATTCATAGATTCACTGAATCCAAATGTCCAGTGGCTTTCTATGTATTTGGTTTCAACAGATCTAGTGCACGTGTTTAGAAATAATGCACTTTTTGTTATTTAATATACTTTAAATACTGGAACATGAGGCAAATAAACCTTTTCCTGGATTCATTGGCAGATCTCACACTATAAGACACACCAATTCCCATCTAGATTTGTCTAAATGTTGCATCATTTTTGTATTTTAAAAGCTTAACATCAGTATATAGGCAGTACAGCAACAACCACCATACATGTCCCACACTACTGCTACTTAGTAGGTCTAAAAATGTTCTTGATGACATATGGCTATAGAAAGATGACACAGTCTTCTATGTTTTAAACGAAGCTATCTTGTAATCCTTGATGATGATGTATTCTATTCCCATCACATCATGTTAACATGTGGGATCCAGTGGCGGCGCCAGAGATTAACTCTAGGGGGTGCTGTGGGGTAGCTTGACGTTTCATAGAGGGTGCTCAAACATTACCAGCGCTACAGTTGAATTTTCTACTGCAACACTCCCCACACACACACACAGTGTACCCGCGACTGTTACAATGAAGGCTCGATAATCAGCTCACGGCATATAGGTGTAAGCAGGGCTAAAGTGCTATTTTTACAAGTGGGGAGTGGACCTCACGTCCTCTAGGAGGGACCTCACCTCCTCTAATGGGGTCCGGGGGCATGCTTCCCCGGGAAGGTTTTTTTTAAATATTGAAGTTAAAAGCATCAATCTGGTGCACTTTGAGAGCAATGTGAAGAGATCTATGGATACCTCTCTCAACACCCAGATGAAACAGAACTGTAAACAGATTTTCTATTTCTTTATAGATATTTTACAACTCCCCTTTTAAAACAAACCGTTTGAGACCCACTGAGATAACTAGACTAAAGATAACTATCTAAACACTGAGAGTCCTTTACTTCACCTGAGCTGAGGTTATCTGAGACTCTCAGTCTGACAGGAGAGAGTTCTCCCTCCACCTTGTTGTTGAAAAAGCTCCTTATATCCGTTAGCTTGGCTAGCTAGCACCAGATGCTAACCACAACGATCTCCAGTAGATAGGCCTACCCACCGGTGCGTGAGCTCTCTCGCTCGCTCGCGCACGCACACAAAATGGCTCGTGCCACACACACACAGAGCAGAGCTTGAATGAAACACAGAGACCCAGAAGTAAGCTATTATGTGCAGAATCCCTCTCGCTTTCAGTTGGTTTTGATTGAGTGTCCACACGTGGACGTCTAAGGACTAAAAAACGATCCATTTTTCACTTTGCTGTTAGCAAATAAGTTGGCGCTCTAGCTAACAGGAAGTCACTCAAGTGTCACAAAGTCATTTAGCCTATGGGTAGGTCAAAAATCGAATCGGTGCTGGCCATTGGCCTAATCATATCACCTGTGTTGGCTTTATGTTTTTGGTCAAAAATGTGTTTGTTTCACATTTGCATTGATGTAATCAATAATATTTATAATTTAATTTAATACAAATTATTATTATTATTTTCGAGAAAAAAAACAACACATTTCTTGGGGGTGCTTTGGCAATCCTGGGGGGTGCTTCAGCACCCCCTAGCTCCCCCCTGGCGCCGCCCCTGGTGGGATCTCACCTGATATTCAAGGTTGTTGAAAACACACACATCCGGAATGGGCACTGTGAAGGAAAAATACCAATTCAATTCAATGTAATTCTGATATAAAAATCCTAGTGAAAATCAACCTGGTTATTGAGTGAAAGGATGGACCAGGATGGCACACTCACCGCAGGACGAACAGCAGACTCCCACAGTGGTGTGGAGAGTATAACCCACAGGACAGGGCGGCACAACCCCAGGGCACTGCTTCACATCACACTCTGTTTAAACACAAGCCAATAACATAAGATTCATCTTTACTCTATACATTAAAAACATCCTTATCCTAATCAGAACAGGCAAGAAAAGACCATGGTTTGGTCATTTTTGGTCCTCCATTATAATTAACATACGTACAATTCTCTAGGTTGTTATCTCACTTTGAACATGGCTTCCTGCAAACACCCTGCCATACATGATCTAGTGAAACCTTAGTTCATCCTGACTCAAGCTCATTTGAAACAACCACTGCATACATTCTGGAAGCATCAGATGTTTTGTTTTCTGGATCTGTCTAACACACATGGTTCCTTCCTGCACAGAGTCCTAGCTGCCTACATTACTCATCTGATAGGCCATCCTTGGGTTCAACTTAAAAGGGACAAACACAACCTGAATACACTGCTCACTTACCACACTTATCCTCTTGACAGCAGCCAACAGTATTAGTGACTTTAACCTGACCCGGCTCCTCACAGCTGACAGGTGGCGGTGCTGGACAGGACACGTGACTGCATGTGACCTTCAGTGTGTCCTCCTCACAAATACACGCGTTACAGTCTTCTGTCCACGTGGAATTGGCCTGAGGACACAATGTTAAGGTAAGTGTGGCAGGAGGCATAGTATTATCAAAGGGTTAAGAAAAAGGGTCTGGCATTGTTGAACAAATATTTACCTTTATCCATTTTCCATTTGCCAGTCGACATATTTCTGTTAGGAGGGAAATAGAATGAATAAAGTAATATTCAATCCTTTGTGGTTTGTCCAGCCAGCCTCAGGAGATAAGGCTAGTAAAAACTGAGTGTGTTCAAAATCCTCATATCTTTCCTAATCTTATGTTCAAACTTCATATTCCAAATGATGATTAACCGTTCAAACTTAACCCATTGCCTACGCAGGTTGCTTTCAGTTTGCATGCTCTGTATTTAAATTGGCTAAGATCTAATATCACAGCTTTACTGTGCTGAATCACTGCTTGTCTACCTTCACTTTAGGTTGAATATTTTGGTTTGCATAAACCAAAAGAGGTTAAGCTAAAACCTGTATAGTGTGCAGGTTATTAATTATAAGGAAAAGTTGGCAGTTCTGTGATACAGTGGAAAATTAAAGACATTTTTAATACATTTCAGAATACCTTTAGAATGTCAGCGACAGTATGGCAAAGTAATGGTAAAAGACTTTAAGGTGAAAGATAAGGATAAGAAACACAGGTGGTCTCAGATCAGGTGCAAACCTGGCAGAAGGGCCTTAAAGTTAGTTTCCCTTACATCCTAATTGTTCTACAGCACACAAACAAAAACAGTCAGATAAAAATACAGTCCATTAATGAATGCGAGATTGCCTTTACTACTTTTGCCATAGAGAAGTGCCATCTGCCCTTACCACAGGTAGGAACACATTCATCAGAAGCGGAGGAGAGGAGGTTGGTGCCACTGGGGCAGAAGCAACCCTCCATCTTCACACTATCCATCTCACTGAACTCATTGAAAGTATGGATAAACTTCTGGTTGTACCTGCAGAAACAACAACATATTGTGTGAGAGCCAATGTTGTATGTGAGTCAAAGCATAAATGAATGTTGATGGATTGACGATGAGAGTTGGTGAATGTCTGTACCAGAGATCACAGGTAGGCTCCACCGGAGGGCCACAGGGCTGATACACTTTGGGACTTGGACATGTATATACTATAAGAGACGAAGACAGAATAAACATCATGCTTTTTCAAGTTGAGGTCATTGCTTTGATATTGTTATAGTGCCTGTATAACATAATCTAGTTGCATACCACAGAGTCCTTTGGTGGAATTCCACCAGTCGATGCATATTCCAGCCAAAGCACAGACTTCAGCGTAAGTTTGTAAGCTGATGCAGCCAACGTGATTAATGTGCATGTGACAAACGTCAAACTCACAGGCCTCCACAAAAGGAAGGTAGTCAACGACCTTGTGGCAAGCTTCAAATACACTGGGGAGTATGAGATTTATAGTCAGAATGGACACAAGCTGAATATATTGACAGAAGAGTCAGTTATCAGTGTTCTTTCATATAAAGACTGTACTTACCTGCAATAAGTGAAAGAATTTGTAAAATCTCAAAATCATCAGCTGAAATGTATTATTAAAACTAAGCAATGTTAAATCTGATGTTACTGACGATTCGAGTTATAGATTACCTATTTTCCTCCTACCTGCTCTTGATGATCTCACAGATGCTTGTATTGCAGGTATCGGGCGTAGGAGTTGTGTTTGGTGTGGGAGGAGGTTGTTTACAGCTGCTGCCGTTAGTATGCCACTCGTGTGCCATATTAGGACATGAAGAATCAATTTTGCCACTGGGCAACATGCAGTCATCTGTCCGGTTGTTATCACATGTGCCTGGAGAAACCCTCATCATTATCAATCACACTGATGGCAGAATGTGTCTAATAGGTAAAATAGATTGCATCTTTTGTAAGTATTACAAATATTCAACCTCTGTAGATATGAAGCATGTCCATCATCGACTGCTTTCCAAAGTCTACATACATTGAGATGCTTTTTATTTAAACTGCAGGACTTACCACACTGTCCCCAGGTGTTGTTGCCAAATTGACTATAGGGTAGGGCGATGCTGAATATGAGCCCTGAGAAGGTGATCTTGGCATGGATTTTAGGGATAACAAGCACTGTATCAATACCAGTGGTGGTCATACGGAAGTCACCGTTCTGGTATGCAGGACTTACATGCCTGTCATTGACGGAAATCTAAAACAAAAAGCAGAAATTACAATTTGTAAGGGTCAATGCATTTGATAATTTTATAAATAAGGATCAAATCAGTTCTGTAAGGTTCACACAAAAGGGTTGAAGCTAAGATAATCACTAGTTTAAATTTAAAGGAAGAAAGTTAATAGTTGCTTTGAATTACCTGATTTTTAAACATGCCATTTATATCCTTTTGCGTTATAAAGATCTTGTAACTTTTGTAGACGACTGTGATGGACTGAGGACAGGACAAGCCATCAGCTGCTCCACAGTAGTAGTTGTCAATCATAACACTGAAGTCATATTTGGGCGAGATCTCTTTCACCAGCCAGTAGGAACAGTTGCCTTGAAAACCATAGTAGGTTCCATCGAATGTGACATAATGGGGATCTCCCCACCCGTAGCAGATACCTTCATACAAAAAATATATTTCGGTTTTTTTATGACATTTCACGCAATTGTTGAGACAATATAAGTCAAGAATATAGAGAAAGAAAAGAAGATAAAAGATTGTTTTAGGTCAAATGCTTTTACATGTTCAACCTTAGGATTTTTCAACAAGCAACATTTGAGCAGGTCAGACTTACATTGACATTCATAGTGGGGGCAGCATCCATCATCATCCAGCACTTTAATTGCAGCAAAGTTATTTGCACAGACTACAGGCTTTTGAATAGGGCACGGTCTGGGGCCCAGAGACACGCTGCCATTTAGACACGTTGCATTTGTACAGTTACTCACAATCCAACTTTCACCATTCTGTGAGGATAATTAAAGATTGGTGTTTAAAAGATGAGATGAGTGGTTTTAATGCATTAATAACAATCAAAGGATTTAACACCTGGTTCCATTTATCAGCCGATTAAGTGAGTGCTATCAGTGGTCTTCAGCTTTATAAATGAAGGTCAGAAGGGGCCTGCTAAAACAACTAGAAGGCAGTACTGATCATGTTTCAGCACGTTTTTTCATCAAAGGATTGAATAAAAGAAGACAACACGTATAGCAACAGTAGCAATTATGACAGGAGCAGAGGCTATAGTCAGTTGCATAGTATATCAGCTAGAAAACTCCATAAGGGAGGGATGGGACACAAAACAAAGGATGTTGACCTTGCTATTTAAACAAAGATCACATTTTCTTCCTAATCTTAACCAAGTAGTTGTGCTGACTAAACCTAAATAATTTGTCAGAAAAGTAGGTATAACAATTAATAATGCACATTTCATTATCCGACAACAGTTTGTGGGTTGAACAATTGCGTATAAAAAAAACAAAAACATTTGTGTATGGAATTACCTGTTTTGGACCTTGACCTGTTAAACAAACCACAGGTGGAGGGTGTGGAGGATATGTATGACATGGCTGTCCTATGGTTACTACATGACAGCTCTCATTGCAGTACCCTGTGTAACAGTAGCCATCATGGTCTGTCTCATTGTATACTATGGAGCCTGAAAATGAGACACAGCAGGTTCGTGAAAAGGAGTCACATAATGTTATATCCAGAGTTCGGAGGGTTACCCTGAATCTATATTCTCTTAAAATGATTAGTTAAATGTTAAACAAGTTGAATTAATAACATTATTTAAGTATCACAATATAAAAGTTATGTACCTGATTACTTTCAGTTACTTTTGGATTACCTCAATATGAAATGCAATGCCATCACCATGCAAACACTAAGATGGCTTTTACTTTAACGTATCATGTAAAAAAACAAATGAAATGTAAACTTAGAAAAGAAGAAACCAAAGTATTCCTTAAATAAAATGAGTCCTCTTTGATTAAAGGACAGGCCTACAGAATACTACAGTTGAATTAAAATCAAACACAGTATTTTTGTTTAATAAATCAGATTTCCACCCACCGCATTTAAAAAAAGAAAAAAAGAGATTTAGAAAAGAGAGACTAAATGAAAAGATAAAATAAGATTCAGTCTTCCTATGATCTAATTATCTTATTTTCAAATGTATTGTTACATTGTAATCCTGCTACTAATCTCCATTATTTGTATGTTAATATAATTGAATACAGTTACTCTTTTTTTATCCTCTATTCATTACGCAGATGTATTCAGATACTGTGCATCCAAAAAATACATGCAGACTTGGGCACTCTTTATTATTAATTTACCTCATTAGACTTACATTTGTCTTTCTAAACAATTTGGAAAATAGGATTGTAATGCCAAGCTGTGACAACATTTATCAAAATTCAACTGTGCCTTTGAGCGGACGGACAACTAGCTAGCATGCTAACGTACATATGATCCATATTTATTATGGTGAAAGACGTTCTGTTTTCCCTAAACTCATTGTACCAATGTCACTGGAGTTTGTTTGAGCAACAACAATGAACCTGCATGTTTGGTTTATTGTTCTAAAATAATTTAGTATAGGATTGTTTGGTACATGCCAAAAAAAATCTTATGTAGTATAGGCCTTTTTGTTATATTTGTGTTTTTATATCACATCACACTGGTGTGTTAAATTGATATGACCCATTTTCAAGATAAATCCGTTATTATGAACAGTACTTACCAGCAGGAAATGTTGTACCATTATGAAAACAATGGCAGTGTAAAGTAATTGGTTGAGTGGTTTCTTCTGTAACTACAATTATCGTAGTGGAAGGCATTGAGGGTGTAGTAGTTGTTGCTGTGGTGGAAGTAGTAAAGGGTGTTGTAGTTGGTACGGCGGTGGAAGTAGTTGAGGGTGTTGTAGTTGTTACTGTGGTTGAAGTAGTTGAGGGTGTTGTAGTTGTTACTGTGGTGGAAGGAGTTGAGAGTGTTGTAGTTGTTACTGTGGTTGAAGTAGTTGAGGGTGTTGTAGTTGTTACTGTGGTGGAAGGAGTTGAGGGTGTTGTAGTTGTTACTGTGGTGGAGAGAGTTGAGGGTGTTGTAGTTGTTACTGTGGTGGAAGGTAGTTGGGGTGTTGTAATTTGTTACTATGGTTGGAGAGAGTTGAGGGTGTTTGTAGTTGTTTACTGTGGTGGAAGTAGTTGAGGGTGTTTGTAGTTGTTACTGTGGTGGAAGGAGTTGAGGGTGTTGTAAGTTGTTACTGTGGTGGAGAGAGTTGAGGGTGTGGTAGTTGTTACTTAGCTGTTGGTGGAGAGTTTGAGGGTGTTGTAGTTGTTACTGTGGTTGAAGTAGTTGAGGGTGTTGTAGTTGTTACTGTGGTGGAAGGAGTTGAGGGTGTTGTAGTTGTTACTGTGGTGGAGAGAGTTGAGGGTGTTGTAGTTGTTACTGTGGTGGAAGGAGTTGAGGGTGTTGTAGTTGTTACTGTGGTTGAAGTAGTTGAGGGTGTTGTAGTTGTTACTGTGGTGGAAGGAGTTGAGAGTGTTGTAGTTGTTACTGTGGTTGAAGTAGTTGAGGGTGTTGTAGTTGTTACTGTGGTGGAGAGAGTTGAGGGTGTTGTAGTTGTTACTGTGGTTGAAGTAGTTGAGGGTGTTGTAATTGTTACTGTGGTGGAGAGAGTTGAGGGTGTTGTAGTTGTTACTGTGGTGGAAGGAGTTGAGGGTGTTGTAGTTGTTACTGTGGTTGAAGTAGTTGAGGGTGTTGTAGTTGTTACTGTGGTTGAAATAGTTGAGGGTGTTGTAGTTGTTACTGTGGTGGAGGGTGTTGAGGGTGTTGTAGTTGTTACTGTGGTGGAGGGAGTTGAGGGTGTTGTAGTTGTTACTGCGGTGGAAGGAGTTGAGGGTGTTGCAGTTGGTACTTTAGTTGAAGGAGTTGAGGGTGTTGTAATTGTTGCTGTGGTAGAAGTAGTAAAGTGTGTTGTAGTTGGTACGGCGGTGGAAGTAGTTGAGGGTGTTGTAGTTGTTACTGTGGTGGAAGGAGTTGAGGGTGTTGTAGTTGTTACTGTGGTTGAAGTAGTTGAGGGTGTTGTAGTTGTTACTGTGGTGGAGGGAGTTGAGGGTGTTGTAGTTGTTACTGTGGTGGAAGGAGTTGAGGGTGTTGTAGTTGTTACTGTGGTGGAAGGAGTTGAGAGTGTTGTAGTTGTTACTGTGGTTGAAGTAGTTGAGGGTGTTGTAGTTGTTACTGTGGTTGAAGTAGTTGAGGGTGTTGTAGTTGTTACTGTGGTGGAAGGAGTTGAGGGTGTTGTAGTTGTTACTGTGGTGGAGAGAGTTGAGGGTGTTGTATTTGTTACTGTGGTTGAAGTAGTTGAGGGTGTTGTAGTTGTTACTGTGGTGGAGAGAGTTGAGGGTGTTGTAGTTGTTACTGTGGTTGAAGTAGTTGAGGGTGTTGTAATTGTTACTGTGGTGGAGAGAGTTGAGGGTGTTGTAGTTGTTACTGTGGTGGAAGGAGTTGAGGGTGTTGTAGTTGTTACTGTGGTTGAAGTAGTTGAGGGTGTTGTAGTTGTTACTGTGGTTGAAATAGTTGAGGGTGTTGTAGTTGTTACTGTGGTGGAGGGCGTTGAGGGTGTTGTAGTTGTTACTGTGGTGGAGGGAGTTGAGGGTGTTGTAGTTGTTACTGCGGTGGAAGGAGTTGAGGGTGTTGCAGTTGGTACTTTAGTTGAAGGAGTTGAGGGTGTTGTAATTGTTGCTGTGGTAGAAGTAGTAAAGTGTGTTGTAGTTGGTACGGCGGTGGAAGTAGTTGAGGGTGTTGTAGTTGTTACTGTGGTGGAAGGAGTTGAGGGTGTTGTAGTTGTTACTGTGGTTTAAGTAGTTGAGGGTGTTGTAGTTGTTACTGTGGTGGAGGGAGTTGAGGGTGTTGTAGTTGTTACTGTGGTGGAAGGAGTTGAGGGTGTTGTAGTTGTTACTGTGGTGGAAGTAGTTGAGGGTGTTGTAGTTGTTACTGTGGTGGAAGGAGTTGAGGGTGTTGTAGTTGTTACTGTGGTGGAGGGTGTTGAGGGTGTTGTAGTTGTTACTGTGGTAGAGGGAGTTGAGGGTGTTGTAGTTGTTACTGTGGTGGAAGGAGTTGAGGGTGTTGTAGTTGTTACTGTGGTGGAGGGCGTTGAGGGTGTTGTAGTTATTACTGTGGTGGAGGGAGTTGAGGGTGTTGTAGTTGTTACTGTGGTGGAAGGAGTTGAGGGTGTTGTAGTTGGTACTGTAGTGGATGGAGTTGAGGGTGTTGTAGTTGTTACTGTGGTGGAAGTAGTTGAGGGTGTTGTAGTTGGTACTGTAGTGGATGGAGTTGAGGGTGTTGTAGTTGTTACTGTGGTGGAAGTAGTACAGGGTGTTGTAGTTGGTACTGTGGTGGAAGTAGTTGAGGGTGTTGTAGTTGGTACTGTAGTGGATGGAGTTGAGGGTGTTGTAGTTGTTACTGTGGTGGAAGTAGTAGAGGGTGTTGTAGTTGGTACTGTGGTGGAAGTAGTTGAGGGTGTTGTAGTTGGTACTGTAGTGGATGGAGTTGAGGGTGTTGTAGTTGTTACTGTGGTGGAAGGAGTTGAGGGTGTTGTAGTTGTTACTGTGGTGGAGGGAGTTGAGGGTGTTGTTGTTTCTGTTGTGGTAGAAGGCTTGGTGGTTGTACTGGTAGGTGTTTTTTGTGATGTCGTTGTGAAAGTAATAGTAGTTTGTGGTGTTGTGCTGCATTGAACTGTTCTGCAACATTCTACCCTTATTTCATAATTGAGACATATGGGAGGATACTGTAAATTGTTCTTACACAGGAGTCCTTGTTTATTACATGTCACTTGTTGGTAAAGGGGAACTGTTGGATATTCCTCAGCACGACATTCCACTGCCACTGGATCCTCGCAGATTTTAAATCCTTTCTGAATGATGTGTTTGATGGTTTCATTGTCTCCAACCCCATTACCATCTTCAGGGTAGTCAGAACTTATCAATTTTGACCATTGGCATAACGTTTCATGACAAGGTGTTTCTGTAACATGTTTGGTTGTAAGTATTATTGGGGGCGTTGTGGTTGAGATTGAAGGTGTCATAGAAGGAGTAGGCTTTGTTGGGCATGCACTATAGTCACAACACAGAACTCTGACTTGGTAGTTGAAGCACAAAGCCAGTGTTCCCGACTGGTCTTCATTTCTGCATGTGAGCCCCTTAGCCAGATCACATTGTACCACTTTTCCAACACTGTCAATGGAGACATTTGGGAATTTCTCAGCTCTGCATTGGATCTCGCTTGGCTTGGCACATATCTTGTGCCCTGCCTCTCTAATCTTGTCATAAGTTTCACTGTCTCCTCCTAGAGTTCCAAGAGTTGGGAAGCTAGTATCATACCATGGGGACCATTCACAGGGATCGCATGGGACTGTAACTGTATGGGGCTCTGTGGATATACATCAAAGTGGTCTGGTTATTTAGTATATCTTACATGATACAGCTGAATATGACTTCAGTTTGAAAAAAAAGGATGTTGCGCATACCTGGTGTGGTTGTAAAAACAAAGGTGGCTGAAGACTGGCTTGCTGTAGATGTGCTTACAATGGGCATAGGTGTTGTTGGTGTTGGTACTGGGCATAAATATGACCCCTTGTCAATGGTACCATTTGTCCCACACACTGCTATGAAGCAGTTACCATGCCCATCTGTTGTGTTATAGATGGTATTGCCAGGGTAATATGTTTTATTAAAATATGTGCAAGTACAGGCTGTAAAAAGATAATATGTTTTGTTAACATAGTTACTTTCACATGACATTACATGTCACTTGTTAGACGCCAATCCAAAGTGACTTACATACATTCAGTACTGTGGGCAATCCCCACAGGAGCAATTTGGGGTGAAGTGTCTTGCCCAGGGACACAACAACATGCTGACTGCAGTGGGACTCAAACTTGCTATCCCCTGATTCAAAGTTCAGCGCACTAAGTTCAGCGCACTATTCCATTGAGCCACAGCCTCCCAGTTACTTGACATATTTGTATATTTTTACAACCCTCAATCTCTCCAAACCTTTAGCATACCTTGGGCATCGTAAAAACATTGGATGGTCGTTGAACTGCAGTTACTACAAGAAAAAAAACAGAAAATATTACTGACAATAATATTGTTTTCATTTAATTTGAACCTGCAACAAACCCATACATCCTTGACTGGACATGTATTATATGCAAGACGTACCATGTATGACAGTTTTCGGTTGTTGGCACTTTGTCAGTATTATTATAGTATCTCCCCTCTTTATCGCAGCAGCCACATAGTTCTTTTGAAACACATGTCATAGTATCTTCATCAAAGTATGGCTGAGCAGGAGGACATTTTGGATAGCAACCTAATTTAAAAACAAACAAATGGTCATGTTGGAATATTTGCCGATTCATGGGTACAACCAGATTAAGTGTTTTTTTGTACTTTAACCTGACATTGTGGTTGAACGACAACTTTTAAATAAAGAACTTTTGAGAAATCCAGCCAATTTAAAGAGACAATGCGTTCAATCAGAAATCTTCAATCTTGAATGTGTTTTTGCGGTTAGGTCAAGTTAAAAAAAGTTGAACTTACCTTCAAGAGGAGGTATCTGTGGAGAGCAGCTGCCTGATGGATTCCTGCAGGTTTTCATACAAGGAGATCCGCATGGCTTGTAGTGCCATTCACATTCTCCAGGGGGATTGTAGTAATCACAGAAGAGAGCTGGAAAATAAAATTATACTTAGTATAGATATTTAAGACTGGACTTCTCAGAGAGAGTACTGGTGATATTAAAAGTGTGGCTGTACTATTTAAATACTGGCTACGAATAAGTAGAAACATAGTATGATCAATACGCCAATTGAACGTCTTAAGTTAATGCTGAGTAGTTGTGTAAATATGCAAAGATAATATTGGTCTCCGAAGTTTTCTCTCATCAAGTCCGACCAGTGATCAGAAGTTCAGCCTAATGTCATTGGTCCCAAGCTGGCTGCCGATGTGGTATCCAGCTGATGATCTGGTTATCTAGGAAACGCCTTGTCTGATTAGGAAAGAAGCCATATATCCCACTATGGATCTAGAATTAAGTTGATTAGACAACTTTATCCATAACCAACCAGAGTTTAAAATATGAATGCACAACTAATCAGAAGACTTATTAAACATATAAACGTTGTTTATTAATATATAGTTATTTTTGGTGATGTGTTGCAACAGTGCAATCAATCCACCCTGCCAGGTTGTATTTATACTCATGTTCCTTGAGGCACAGGCCAAGAAGGTAACCCATAACCCAATCTTAATTACAACTCTTTGAAAGGCCTTGTTTTCAATCTTTAAAAACCAACCTGGAAAATACTGCAGATATTATAATTTTTTCGTTTTTAGCTTTCTGAATTTGTATTCATTTTCGGATATACCTAAATTAATACAGTTACTTGTTTCTTGTAAGTGTTTTCAGACAGGCATCTGGCAGCAGTTTACTTCAAAAACCTTATATCCAAGGGTCCTGCATAGAAGCCCCCCATCAGGACTTTGCTGGATGACACTCAAATTTGTCGTATTCGTATACTGTATTTGTATACCTGAGACAAATGTAAAATCTGTAATTTTGGGCTTTATAACTAAACTTTTAGTCAAGAGGATCAAACTGACTCTACTTGATAAGGGATTTGCTCTTTGCTTACCGCAAGGTAGGGGGCAGAGCCTTGCGGTGAAGACTGCTAGTTTGTTTTGTTTACATGGTTACCACCCCTGCTAGCCTGTGCCTCATATTTGATGCTGCTTAAATAATAAAGAAGTTATATATTATTTGAAAACAGATCATGAAGGTGTTTGATGAATATCTTGTTATTTTTCCAGTGTAGCCCTCACTGACAAAGGTTATAATATCCAGCAAATCCTTACCTTAGTGATCTTGATAGGTATGTATTTATCTAAAATAACTTTGCTTGTTACCTTATGCAACCCTGATTCATTTTGTCTATTGCCTTAAATGATTGTTCATCTTAGATACTCACGACAGATCTTTGGGGTTCTCCATGGTATACAGATTCCAGCTTGATTACAGGATTCAGCATAAGCAGCCACAGCAGTGCAAAAACACTCACAGTCTCCACCCGTGTCACAAGCACATGAGTCAAACACACATGCATCATAGTATGGAGTTGGATCCACCTATAAAAAAATAATATTATTATACAATAATGGAAGAAAAATGCTATTCTTTTCCAAGTATATTTCTGCACTCCTTTTTGTTTGTTTTTTTAAATGGTATTTTTACAGTGTGGCATTGCTACTTTAACATGAGTAAAGGCTCTGGATAAATCTTCCACCAGTCAGTCATTGAGTGAACACCCTGATAAAGGTGTAAACATGTCCATGTTTGAAGACACTTTATATAGCATAATCAGTAGCTTATGTGCTGTCTTCCTAACAGGGACAACCTTTGGGCCAGCAGGCTGAAAAGGAAAGCTCATGAATAATCTAACATGGTCTCATCAACAACCTACAGTGGAGTGGCAGGCAGAGAAGACATCACTCTGTATAAGGCTGCACTGTTTCTGCGACCAGGCCTGTCGGTATGGGTTGGTTGTGCAGGGGCTGCTAATGCTCTGATCGTCAGGGCAACTGGGTAAATCCTTCCAGCTGTTTCCAAACACCAGTGGGTTGACCACCACAGCATTGCCCCTTGTTGTGAAGTCATTATTTGCATTGCCGTCATAATTGCCACACAGGCCACACACGCGACCCTGAAAATGTAGAGGTCCTTATGTCATGGCTGTCGGCTTAAATATCAAAATGAATCAATTTTTGTGACAATAAGACCAAAAAAATGTATCCGGCGGTACCTTATATTTTGAGCTTAGCTGGATGAACAAGCTGGTCTTTCTGTCCCACATGAGAATGAGTCCATTGTTGGCTTCAACTACTAGATAGATGCCCATAGTGCTGTAACGGAATGGAACTGAATGTTCATCTCCACTTGAAAGCAGCTGGTAGCGTCCCTCTGTTAGAATCACTTCTGCATTCTATAGAAAAGGACAGATTTGTATTGTTGATATAGATACATTACAGAGAGACAGACACACAGATGGATGGATATTTGACTGTTTACCCCCAGGAAGATCCTGATTGTCTTGGAGCAGGTGGTTCCTGTGGTTCCACAAGGAAGATTCTCAGAGATAACTCTAAAGGTTCCATTACTCTGTGCACTGCCACAGTAGTCCTGAGGAAGGCACACACACACAGAAAAAAGTCATCAATATTAGTGGCCCTGCTTGACTCCCGTTCTCTGCTTTGTCAGGGATATGTTATTTGAACGAACTGACAGGGACAGTTAAGGAAGCAGGGAGGTCACAGTGGTTTGAAATAACTCTACAAGCCAAAGGACTACAGCAACACGTTCAAAGAATGGTGGTTCCTCAAAAAGCATTCCTGATTCAGATCACTGGCCCGTCCTAATAATAATTTAATGTGAATTTAAGATGTTGGAGTGGTTATCTGTCGGTCTTGTCTCGTGAAATTAAGCAAGCCCATTCAACAGTAAGGCATATATCTTTGGTTTTCTGCAGCTTAGCAAAACCTTTTGAGGGATAGGGTTAGTTATAACATATTTACCACAAGTGCATTCATCTGTTCTATCCCTCTGTTTGTGAGTGAATTTATACCTGAGTGAGAATGTATTCACAGCTGCCATCAAAGGTGAAGCGTTTCTGATCAAAGGTCATGTAGTGTCCTGCTCCGTAGACAGAGCAGGTCCCATCACACGCCTCTGTAGTGCACTGCCACTTCCTGTCTTTACAAGTGCTGTAAACAGAGAGATTGGACTTCTCATTGTACGTGTCACTCAAAGATGAAGGTGTAACCAAAAAACTCAAGTAAAAGCCGTTCCCTCCACTTGGGATTCACCTACCAGGTGTTGCAGTCCACCTTGGTGCTCTCTCCAGGCTGGTAGGAGATGCCGTTGTGAACACAGGAGCAGGCATCTGGCTTGATGCAGCCTCCTTTATCATCGGACACCATCCCAGATGGACATATACACCCGGACACGCACCCAGTGGACACCTGCAGAAGTTGTCAAACTTACAGTTATATGTTTTACTTTGATTATCCAAATATTTGATCCATATAAACTAGTAATGTATTTGCAGATAAATGTTCCTCTATGTTGGGAAAAAGGTGACTCACACAGGCCATGTCTAATGTGTTGCAGCTCTTCTCACACTCAGTTCCTTTAGCAGCTGGACCAGCAGAGCAGTTGAAAAACTCCATAGGAAGAGCACAGGCTGCTAAGAAAAGACATATCTGAAGTTACTATACTTCATTCTAAAATGAATCTTGGTTTCTCTCTTTATATTACTACTGTTGCCCTGATTTTATGCAACATCTTGCATAAACTTGTTTTTCTGACAACCAAGATAACCTTGATTAATGGTGCCTTGTTGATGGAGTATTTTTGTTATCAAGATGTAATATAAAATGTTTTTTTTTACATGTAAACAAGCCCCATCACTCTAACACACAGCCAGAGTATGTCATGTCCCAGTAGGGGCTCCGTATATCGACACCCTAACTGCAGTTATATGATTACCATCAGCTATGGCCTCCCGTATAGAAAGTACAGCAGATGGGAAGTAGCGCTTTATTCTTTTGTCAAAGCGGCAAATCGTTCTGTTTTAGTATTTGTGATGCAAACTGTCCACTTGTACATATTTTCCCCAGACTTTTTGTCATTCTGCCTGTGTGTTGTCTTGATCTGAAGAACACATCTAAAGTTTAGGCTGTATCTTGTGCGTTGAAACGCTGTACACAAACATGACGGTAACAGTGATAGTGGTTCTAGAGGCAGTTGTGTGTGGTCACAGCGACTGTGTGCAGCTTCCCACATTATTTCTTGGTCACATTCAACAAATTAGCTTTATAGGTGTTGGTAGGTCTTTTTGATCAGAGCTGAGCAACCTGCTGTCTTTTACCTGACCCAACACATACATGAGATCATTACCCCTCTAAACAGCTCAGTCTCAGACAGTGTTAGTGATCAGTATATTCTTTGAAATTGTCATAAACCGGGTTAGTATTTTCAAATATAAAACAAGTGAAAATGATGATCTATGTTGGCAGACAGCAACTTTCCAAGGCTCTAAATCTGAAAGGGATATCAAATGTTTGAAACCTGTCACAGCTGGATGAAGTCCTATTCTCTCTTAGATGCTAAAACACAACTGCTCTGACATTTCACTTCAAAAGCTACCATCAGGAAGTAAGGCAACACTCCCTTTCAGGTGTTTCTATGGTGTTACTTACATGGCTGTACAATCATCTCCCCAATGCAGTCCAGTTTACCGTCCTTACAGGAGCTAGAGGAGGAATATAAAAACTCATGAATACACATACACGTATATAACACTGCAGCGCACACTTTAAACATTTGTGAAATTCTCACTTTTTCCAGATATGTCAGAGATAAACATTAATTTGTTCCTCTCAAGCCCGAAAGAAAGGAGGGAAGATCCAGAGCTGGCACAAAAGAACTACAGCCATAATGTTTATGATCAGTTGGCATACAATACCTTTCCCCGTATAATTCACAATTATTTTAAGTGCACACATATACTTCAGTTTGTTTGCAGATGCATTAAAGGATAATATGGGGAATCATTTAATTCTACCAAATCCCATACACATGCCTGGAATAACAATATCCAACATAACAAAAGCTTTACGTACCACATGAGCCCTTGCTTGTTAACGACCTGTCCAGGAGGCACCACTGAGCCTTCGTCATAACAGGGACAAGCCGTAGATGGAACACACTTCCCGGTGTCATCCAGGTAGGTTCCCTGTGCACAGACACAGCCGTCAATGGGGGGGAAGGAGGCGTGGCAGCTGAGGTCCGTGGAGCCGAGGCAGCGGCAGGTGTGGCTGCTGGTCGTGATGCTGTCCGAGTACACCATGCTGCTGGGGCACGAGCTGGCATATTTCCCTGAGGAGGACACAGCAGAGTCAGTGCCGGCCACGTGAAGACGTTTAAAAGGCCAGTGTTTTTTAGCCCGTTGTGCTGCAATGTCACAGCAAGATCTCGTTGTAGTTTTGCTGCAGGGCTTTAGGTTGTTGGATGTGTTTTCCTGCTAATGGTTTTGGTTAAGGGTCCAAGCAACAACAGAGTTACAACCCCCTTTTTCTGGTTATTAGTGGATTATTAACATTACTATTATTTAAAAAATAATGGCCTAAAACAACAATGTTGAAAATGTAGTCTGGCATAGCCACAGTACTGTGTCACATTATCATTCTGCTGAAGCTGTCTTCACGCCATCAGCAGTACACGGTTCTGCGCTGGCTGTGCCGTTGTCTTCCTCTGGAAGGAGGCTTGCTTTCGGTAAGACATCATAGTCCATTCTACTGTGTAGCAATGGCTGGAACAGCGTTGTTATGGCAGATTCCTTATTACAGCGTGTTTCTCGCTTATTCATTAAGGTCACACAGGTCAGAGAGGCCCATGAGTCTCTTTGCTAATTATCCATGGTCTTTGAATTATCAATAGATGTATTCATTTAAAGTGAGCTGATGCTGAGGTCAGAGGAAGTGCAGAGAGGCGCTAATTAGATAATACAGTTAAGTCTTTGTTAGTTAATTACTCCTAAAGACGTCATGAGATAATGACCTTTTGATATCTGGGACATATACAAGTATGGCATTCAGAGAGAAAACATGGCTGCATAATCAAATGAGGGTGGGTCATTTTAGAATCCTATATATGCTGGGGGAAACTTGTATTCGATGGGGCATTTCCGCGATTGGTTGCTATTGAATCAAGGTGATGTACCTCATTATTGTTTGTTGTTGTGCAACTGAATAATAATGAATCTCAACCATATCTGTGTTTGTGTTTTATTGATCTCTCTCTCTGTGTTAACATTTAAAGTTGGTGAGCCATTAATTGCCCTAACAGCGTCTACTGCGAAGTTACCTACATGATGGCAGAACTGATAGAGGTTTTTATGGAGATTTCTCAGGAACTGTTCACATTGGATTTTCAGGTAACCAGTCTTGAAACACTGATAGAGCCCATACTGTGTTCCTGTCTTGTTCTTCTGCTGATTTCTCTCTCGTCCCGCACTATGTCTTTCAACTCCATACCTTCTTCTGTGTTTGGTTCCTGTTCTTGTTCTATTCATTTTTTCACTGGGGGAATTTAAAGTTTCTTGTTCTCCACAAATATATAAAATATTACTCTGTGTTTTCTGATGGAGAAAAACTAATGTTTTTATTGGCCACAGCTGAGGTTAAATTGACCAGACTTCTTTCTGCTGATTAATATAAATGCAAATGGCCTCTTGATCAAAGTATCCTTAGCAATAATCTGCTGTTATAAAAAAAAAGCAGACTGCTCGACAATACAATATTAAAAGCAGTAAGATCACTTGTATTGTCATCATGCTGTCAGATTCAATGCTTCCATAATGATGCAACACTTTGGGTTTGACTCTGCTCCACAGTTACTCAGTGCTCACCACAGATGGTGTTCCTCCAGCCGCTGAGGTGGATCCCTGCAGCTGCACAGGCATGGACATAGGCGGAGACTGCAGCACACATGCAGTCCTCACTGTTCTCAGAGTTACAGCTGTCATACATGCAGTTCTGGGAGGAGACGGAACGGAAAAGGAAGGGCAGTGTGAGGTCATGTGACAGGCCTGGAGACTGGTCTAGGAACAGTCCACAGGAAACAGTGAGACTCACCTCTTTGTAAGAGTCAGGGCTGATCTCTGAGTGACAGGAGGCAAACATTCCCTCAGGCTCACTCAGCATTGAGCACCAGTGCTGGGCGTATCTCTCTGTCGGTGACAAAACAGGACCAACATCAGACATTCTGAAGAACCCAAAGTGTCAGCAAAGAGTGGAAAGAGTCAGACAAACCATTTTCCAGACTAAGACTGCAAGGGTTCTCAAAGCTGCTCTTAACATCGCGGCAACCAGCATGTGTCTTCCAACTGTTGACAAAACCAGCTGCTGTGGCATCTGGAACCCCACTGAGCTTCAGGAAGTCATCCGCCTGGTTGCTGTTGAAGTTGCCACACAGACCTGCAGGCAGGAACAACATGATCAGGACCCCACAGGGCACTTTACTATGTCTATCCAGCTTTCCTGTCCTTTCAAACTGAAACAGACTGATGCGTGATACATAAAAATGCCATGTCCCACACTAGAACTACACTTGTGCCACTTGAGTTAGCAAATATTGACTAATTTTGACGAACTAAAAGTTACTCAATGTGCTCCTAAGTGCATCATTAATTCATTCTTTCATAACTATTAATCTTTGAAAACAGCAGTACATGGAATATTAAAATGGTTGGTTCAAATGCTATTTATTTGAACAATATATGCTATAAGCTATATATATATTCAGGCAATATAATATAATAAGTAGGGCCGGGACTCGATTAAAAAAATTAATCTAATTAATTAGAGGCTTTGTAATTAATTAATCGAAATTAATCGCAATTTTGAGAAAATGAGAAGCAATTTTTTTCACATGGATTTTAGTATACCATTAGGCGCATTCACACCGCAGTACTTTTCCCACAAAGGTTCATGAGAACTCTTTGAACCTGGGGGTGGATTAGGCAAATGAAGCCGCTGACGTCACTTCTTCTTCTTCTGCTTTGGGTTTACTGGCAGGCCGCAAACCACTTCACGGCGTATACTGCCGCCCAAAGTCCCCGGAGTTGGGGACTGGCTTCAGTAGAAGCTGCTGGGACTCCCAGCAGCCTTCCGAGTAAATCGCCAGAACGCCGACACCTCCTCATCTCCAACGCTCCCATGTTTTATTTTGTGTTGCCATAAGTTAGTCTCTCTGCGTTTCTGCGCTGGGCTAATGCTAATGCTAATAATGCTAATGCGAGGATAATAAAATGGCGGCTTCACCAAACTTTTTGGGAGTTTTACGGGGCGTGGTTTGCAATCCGCCCAGCCAATCAGAAATATAGCTCTTTTCTCACAAGAGAGCGGTACGAAAGTCCCTGCTCTCTAGCAGCTCTCTGCTCTCTAGCAGGGACTTTCGTGGGGGTAAAAAGGTTCTCATGAACTAATTTTAGTACCTGCTCTTTTTGGTGTGAACGCGATAAAAGAGGCTAGCTTCCACGCTAGCTGCTATATGTTTTGCATTGAGGTGATACTTGAGGCTTGATGTGCTGCGGTGATATGCAAATTCCTTTTTGCATAATTTGTACACAACCGTGCTCTTATCGACGCTTCCATCCGTCCGTTTTTTAAAACAACATTTCCCACTGTTGTTCACTGTGGTTTGTTGTTGTCTGAAGTCATGAACGTTAGTTGGTGCTCCAGTATAATCGGTACGCCTGAAACTCATCCAGTGAGAAACGTTCCGCGGTGCAAAAATAAGTGCGATTAAAATGCGTTAATTTTTTTAACGCGTTAATTTTTGTGTAATTAATTAATCTTAATTAACGCGTTAAAGTCCCGGCCCTAATTATAAGGATTCACTCTGACTTTCTTTGTTATCCAGGTGATCAGCCAAGCCAGGTGGCACCTATCAATCTATATAGAGTTCAAGAATGCCTTAAGACATACCAACTTTGATGACCTCTAACTTTATTAAGGTTGAACACCTTTTTAGTTATTATTTTACTCACCCCCAAACAACTCCAAAAGACAGACAGGACTCACTCTGGATGGCATTAATTTGGCCTCCAACGAAACCGTAAGGAATCTCAGCATTATATTTGATCAGGATTTGTCCTTTAACGCCCACATAAAATGAATCTCAAGGTTCGCCTTCTTTCATCTGGGTACCCTTGCTAAAATCATCCTGCCTCAAAATGATGCAGAAAAACTATTCCCTGCATTTGTTACTTAAAGGCTGGATTATTGTAAGTCATTATTATCAGGCTGTACCAAACATGTGTTATTTGGGATATTGAGTTTACTGTTTGTAACAACAAACAGGGATCAATAGCCAGCACTATTTGAGTTCTGAAGTACAGATGACTTCAGGACACATACCACAAGTGTTGGCCTGGTAGTCGCTGGTCACTGTGAGGTGGAGCTGCATCACCGGGTGGAGCTGCACCTCCAGCAGCACCCCCACAGACGTCTGCACCAGCAGGTAGAAGGAGGACGCTCTGAAGGCCGAGATCCCAGCTGCAGGGGGGACGGGAGTTTGTTAAAAAAAATCACTTTCTGCAAGCTGTCATCCTATCCAGCTCAGAGGCAAATGGAATGACTCTGACTCTGCAGTAAAGATGTTGTTTGTATGTTGTTTGGTTGGTGGATGTGTGTAGAAGTTAAAAAGAGAAGCTCAAGTGTAGTATTACTGAGCCCATGCTGTTGATTTCCTTACCTGGAAAAAACGTATATATATACTGTATATCAGTGGTGAACCGTCAGGGCCTTCAAGGTATTCAGAGAACCAAAATCGATTTAATTATATTAAAAAATATATATAAAATGTAAATAAAATGAATAAATGAGAATGGTATCTGTGTTGTTGATCTGTAATATTACAGTGTCACGTTGATTTGTTTGTCCTTCTCGGACCATGCACTACGCATTTCAGTGGTTTTGTGTTAGAAAAGAAAGCAACCAATCAGATCTTGTTCTGGGTCTCTGGGTAGAATATCCTTCAAGGTATTCTACATCCTTGATCGAAGGCCCTGGCCGTTGCACTGAATGAGAGCGTACGTTTGGACTGACAGTTTGATCAACCAATCATATATTGATTTGTAGCCAATGGGCGTATTCTTTCAGAGTTCCCCTCGGTTCCAGGGTATTCTAGAAGGCCCGCTAGTTAACTGGCTCGAGACAGATGATAGATGAATGCGACGAAGCAATTCATGCCGTTTTATTGTTTTTAACGTTGAAATGACAAGTGCAACAGGTGGAGATGAAGTTGTTGCAGAATTGTTGTGAGTACCCTTTTCAAGACAACAATTCAGTGAAGATGGACATTATAATGCCGCGGAGGGGGGGAGCGGCAGGTCCAGTTGTGATAGACACGGTTCACCACTGCTGAATATACATATATATATATTAGGGCTGGGCAAGTGTAAGACAGATACACACTAACAATAACACACACCCCCAGGAACAAGGAGCCACAGCTTTACTGTCAGTGTGGTCGGGAAGGTTCCTAACAGATGAAATGTCAAAGAATTAGCTAACTTTCTGCCATAAGAGGAGCTATTTGAATGATTTAATGATAAGGAAAGAAGATTCAGTGTTTCCTTTGTTATCTCCGTTAGCTTAGGATTCACCGGTCCACTGTTTAATAACGGAAGGAGATGATGCTATCCTTGCAGTCTCTCCATTCAGACGTCCAGGAAGAACAACTGATTGTGACTGACAAACGCAGATCATGTAAGTTACGGTGCTACGGTGGAAGAAATGTAAGGATAAGATTAGATATGGAAAGTGTCTCACCAGCAGAGAAGGGTAACTGAGCGTAGATGCCATTCACAAACACTTTGCCACTGGGTTGGATGGTGATCACCTTCATATGAAAAGAGACCTGTTGTTATCATCTGTGTGGCGTGTGTTCATGATAAAAAAACAAGCAGCAAATCTTGTGTGCACTCCTTTACCTTGCAACAATACTTTCATAGTATTGTAATTGTATACTCAAATACATATAGGAAGCAATGGCAGGCTGGAGATAAACGATTATCCTTTCGAAAATGGTGACAAATTATTTGAAAACAAGTAAAGCAAAACTAGTGTGTGTGTGTGTGTGTGTGTGTGTGTGTGTGTGTGTGTGTGTGTGTGTGTGTGTGTGTGTGTGTGTGCGTGTGTGTGTGTGTGTGTGTGTGTGTGTGTGTGTGTGTGTGTGTGTGTGACTGTGTGTGTGTGTGTGCGTGCACACGTGCGCGTGTGTGTGTGTGCGTGCGTGTGTTTATTATACTCACGTTAGCCCCTCCAGACAAACCCAAGGTCACAGACTTAAGGCAGGTTTCACTCTCGGTCACTCCACACTGCAGCAGCTGCGCCTGCACCACAAACTGGGCTCCACTGCAGTCCTAAACACAGACACAGAACACTCTCACACTGCTGCAGTGAAACAACATGACTGCACCTAGCAGTGTATAGAACCCCAGTTGAAGAGCAACACTAATCAGAACCTTGCATGAATAGAACCCTCAGTTGCTTCAGGCTTGGGTAGCTCTGCTGTGCAAGTGTTACCATGGCATGGGTGTGTTTGGTACCTTAGCCAGGACGTAGGAACAGTCCCCATGGAAGGTGTAGGCTTTGCCATCAAAGGTGTTGATGTGAGCCCCCCCCTCCAGAAAGCAGGTTCCTGGACAGTTCTCCTCTGTACAACTCCACTGTCCACTCTCACACACACTGTCCACACACACACACACTAACTGTTAGCACACACAATTCTATTTAGCTTTTTATTGTTTCATTACTTTTGTTATGAAAGCCCTTATAAATTGATTGAGTATCAATATTTGTATTTATTTATTATATATTGATGTATTTTTGTTGAAATATTTTCCTTGAAAACAAGTTGGTTCATCTCAATAATACTCATAACAAATGTTTGCTCATAACACATTTTCCATTTGTGTGTCGTGTTCCTTTAACAACACTGAAATACTGGATGCTATACCATTTTTTGCAGTTGCTGGAGTAGGACTCCCCAGGTCGGTACGTCTGGCTGTTGTAGCTGCATGAACATTCCTTCGGCGGGACACAGCCCCGTCCATTCAGATCATCCAGCACCGTGCCTGCAGGACCGGAGAATCACTGCATTAACCCTCCTGTGGCTTACGGGTTACATCTGACCAATTCACTACTTTCATCAATCATAAATATTGTGATTTACATTTGATTTCTTCAAGGACTGATGATATCCTCCACAGTTTGAACACATAACAATGCTGATCACCACTTTCATTGAATTTTGAGTGGTTTAGTCAACTGTGGTTGCCGGTCAAATATGACGCCGTAGAAATTGAAAGGGTAACCCTAGATTACGTTTATGCATCAGATTGTACTCATCCGAAAATCTTCAACCATGTTGATTTTGGAATACTTTTTCCGTTTTTATTCATTGTATATTCTCTGCAGTTATTCATGTAAACCAGTATTAGGAGACATTGTTTACAGCCAGGGGTGTAGTGCTATTTCTATAAGTACAGGAGCGCACCTATGACTCGCACATGAATGCACGTGCACGGTTGTGGCACGACCACCAAAACAGAAACATATGGACATAGGTTACTATATCAAAAGTGTGCAAATGTATTTAGAATCCTATCCATGTGACCTTTTTTTTTAGTGGGTGGTGGACCTAACATCCTCTAGGGGGAAGATTTGTTTTTATGTTGAAGTTAAATGCATCAATCTGGTGCACTTTGAGAGCAAAAGTAGGGACTAAATCTATGGATACATCTCTCAACAACACCCATGTAAAACAGAACTGTAAACAGACTTACTTTTTCTTTATGCATATCTTACTAATCACTCCCTTTTAAAATGAATGGTATGCTCATGACACTCATTTTTAAATAATTATCATCCGATAAAACAGACCAGTCTCTGCCAGTCTTTCTTTTCTTTTTTTAATCCGATGACATTATCAGTGATTTTAAACTGATTAATTACCGAAATAACATCAACACTGTGGGCGGCGCCATTTTACCGGACGTGACGTAAACCATGCGTTTGGTTTCTAGAGATGGCAAATCCGGATCATTTTATGGACTCGGAGTCTTCTGAGTCAATCATTGAAGAGATCCGGATCATACGAGTCATTTGAGTCATTTGAGTCATATGAGTCAGCATGACCAAGACCGTAGAAATCCTACCGGTGAAACCGAAAAGTTGTTGCATTTAACCAGCATATTAAACTAACGTTACATTAACCTCCGCTACACAGTGTCTTTTGCTTTAATAAAACATGTGTGTGTGTGTGCATTTTAAAAAATAAGTGTTTTGCATTATATGTATATAGTTATTTTAATATGTTCCTGTACTTAAGCTAATTTTGCACAATTGTGTTTTCATTTAACAATAATAATAATAATAATAATAATAATTGTATAATTACATTTTATATATTCTAACTGTTTTGCAATTTTCTATCATTTGTTTCTTTTTGTGTGCCATGTTCAAAATAAACGAGTTTCCAAGTAAGATCCTTATTGGAAATGCAGATATTATTACAGGAGACTGTTGCACAACATGACCATTTTGTTAGAAGTCTACACTGAAACTTAATTTAGAGCCGGAAAAATCGCGGGATCCGTGAATCCAGGTCAATGATCGAGAGAGACCAGTAGCCTACGAGGACTCAGAGCCGTAACTTATAGCAGGCAGCAGATCCAGAGATCCAGCAGACTCGTCCCCATGCACGAATCTACAGCAGACTCAGCCCCTCCTCCGGCTCGCACGGCTCCCGCGAGTCCCACGGCTCCCGCGAGTCCCACGGCTCCCTCGACGAGTCGCAGCAGACTCAGAGATTTGCGGACTCACGGCTCACTCACGGCTCACGGCTCACTCACGGCTCACGGCTCACTCACGGCTCCCGCGAGTCCAACGACTCACGGCTCACGGGACTCTCGCGGGAGCCGGAGGAGGGGCTGCATTTGCTGTTGATTCGTGCATGGCGACGAGTCTGCTGGATCTCTGGATACAACAACGTTGTAATGTGATTGTACACGTTATAAAGAGAGTAAAGAGTGACGCAATTTATAGTTTTAATTGTTACGTCACATCAGGTGTAGGACTCAAAGGACTCGGGTTAATCGAGAGGGAGACTCGTCACGACCGGCTCATTACTAGGATCCGGGTTAATGATCCGGATGAATCATGACTCGCCCATCTCTATTGGTTTCGAGGACACGTTGATGTTCATGTTATTTACTGTAGTTACTCTCTTCAAATATGCCTCATTGTATCGCGAAACATTGCCACAATTCTGATAGGAACAATCCACGGAATGCTCGGTTCCATCTGTTGCCAAAAGGTAAGCGTAGGAAGTACGTTCGGAGGCAGTGGCTAGCGAAATGTGGCCGGCCCGAACCGAAAGATCCACAGGCGCAGGTATGCAGCGAACATTTCAAGTTTCCGGACGACTACTCTGAGAGTATGATAAAACATAACATGGGATTTATTGAACAACCATTACTTAATGGATATGCAGTACCATCGGTCTTTCTGGTGTCATCACCGACCAGGACACCAGTTCGGCCAGTTGAGAAATCGCCCTCTGCAAGTGTGAAGCGACGGAGGACCAGAAGTAGTGCTCGGAGTAAGAATAAGGTATGTTATAGAGCATTTCCATTGCAGCGGGTAGCCCCGTTTAAACGTCCTTTATCGTCCAGGCCAGGCCAGTTTTTGGTGGCCTTTTCATATAGCGTAGTACCGGCTAGTGGGTATTTTCCCCCAGTTTTTCCGGCCCCATAAAATCGTGGTTCTAGGGCCAGGGACAACGAGGCTCAGTATGCTAAACTAGAGAGGGAATCGCTAGCAAGGGTGGTACTCAGTGTTGGGACTAACGCGTTACAAGTAACGCGCTACTATAACGCCGTTATTTTTGACAGTAACTAGTACTCTAACGCATTACTTTTTAAATTCAGTAACTCAGTTACCGTTACCACATGGTGCGTTACTCCGTTACTGCGTTAGTTTTTTGATATAGTCAACAGCCAGGCGAACAGAGATGAGAACTGTACTTAAGTACAGTACTTGAGTAAATGTACTTAGATACTTCCTGTGTCACATGCGGAGACGCGCTGTGGGCGTGTTTGTGTTGTTTACTAACAAGACTATCATGGCGGCGGCGGAGCTCAAGTCTAGTTTCTCCACCTGGAGATATTCTCACTATTTCACTTTTGTCGAGCACAAAGAAAATAACGTTTTAGTTAAATGAAAGTTGTGTCTTGGCGGGTCAATGATCCTATCTACTGCCCAAACCAGTCATTCAAATCTCTTAAAACATCTGCAAAAACAACATGCTGGGACGAAGCTAGTAGCTAAGACCACAGTGACTCAGCCGACGCTACTCCACCTCCACCTAAGCAACAGCGGCTGGATTTTAACCAAGGGACTGCTAGCCAGGGAAAAGTCGATAAAGCCATTGCACGGTATGTTGTAGAACACATGCAGGCTATTGCTACAGTGGAGTCACCCGCTTTCAGGGAGCTAGTTAGCATGATAGCATGTCCGGGCGGCACACGGCATATGGGACGGAAAACTTTTTCCAACTACCTGGAGAAAGAATATACAAAAATGGAAAGCCAGCTAATATCGATGCAATCCAGATTGCATATAATGCATGTCAAGTTGATCAACAGATTGTATTATTCTCCAATGCAATAACATTACTGAAATGAAGGCTATAAGGGCATTAATGGGAGCCATTTTTTCAAGTAACGAAAACGTTACTGTTCACAGTAACGCATTACTTTTGCGTGTAAGTAACTAGTAAAGTAACTGAGTTACTTTTGACATGAAGTAACTAGTAATGGTAACTAGTTACTGGTTTTCAGTAACTAGTACAACACTGGTGGTACTACATGCATACATATCTAGTAATCAAAATCATTGTATCTACTAAGTAGTACTAAGTAGGCTCGAACCTGTAGGCTATGGCTGAATTCCCCCATCCAATCTCTTCATATTGCTCAAAACTTCTTCCTCGGCTGACGAGTCCGAACTCAAATACTCCGCCAAGTTTTCGTGTGTTTACAAAGTGAACGCATGGATGACGTCACGACCATCACGTGACTACTGAAAATGGGCAAAATGGCAGCGGCCTGACGGAATATACAGGTTTTGATAAAAAAGAGCTATAAAATCATTATTTACCAGGGAATATCGCTGATTTCTTCAGGGTATGGTTTAAACATAATGTTTCACTAAATACTGAAGTTTTGATTCATTATCTAATGAGTGGAGCATTCCTTTAAACTGTATTTTATTGTACTGTCCTATGCTATGAGTTAGAATTATTTCATACCTGTTTTTAACTTATTCTCTTATTTTTTATAACTATAATGATCATGTAAAAAGGTGTGCCTTGGAAATACTTGTTTACATCATAAATGGTGACCAAACAGTTTGAGACCCACTGAGATAACTTAGACTAAAGTGAACTATCTGAACACTGAGAGAGTCCTTCCCTCACTGAGCTGACGTTATAAGATCCTCTCAGTCTGACAGGAGAGGACTCTCCTCCGCCTTGTTGTAGAAACAACTCCTTATGTACGTTAGCATAGCTAGCTAACCAGATGCTAACAACAATCCCCCTGTGCTCCGGCAGCACTACACCCCTGGTTACAGCTTAAAAGGGTGTTGAATAAAAATGTGAAATGTGTGAAACGAACACTACAGGAGGGTTGAACGTGTGTGTGTGTGTGTGTGTGTGTGTGTGTGTGTGTGTGTGTGTGTGTGTGTGTGTGTGTGTGTGTGTGTGTGTGTGTGTGTGTGTGTGTGTGTGTGTGTGTGTGTGTGTGTGTGTGTGTGTGTGTGTGTGTGTGTGTGTGTGTGTGTGCGCGTACCTGCAGGGCAGAAGCATCCATCGAGACAGTGGTTGTCGCAGGTGTGGCTGGCCTCCGGGTTGGAGCAGGTATCAGCACAGGGACTACCACACTCCTTGTACACCATTTTGTCCGGACATGACTTCCCTGTAAATGCATTTTATTTTTAGTAACATTCACTTTTCATAACTTCTCTGCTGTAGCCTGGATCCAGACCCTCAACCGCACGCCAACACTTGTCTTCTAGAAATCAGCTTCTCCTCTCTGACCTGAATGAATGGTGAATGGTTGCTTAGGGACTTGCCTTTGTAGGCTACCTGAACATGAAATCAAAGTCAATAAATACTGTGTTTTGAGTCTGACAGCTTCAATCAACACGCCCATCATTTTAGTCCTGACATATTCACAGGCCCTGCAGATGGAGACCTTGTCTTGCTTGATTTGGTTAGAGAAACAGTTGAGTCATCAGTGCTCTGGTTGAAGGGTCTAAAGCAGGGGTGGGGAACCTCCGGCCTCTGGACTTGTATACGGGCTGCAGACCATTTGATCTGGCCCTCGAGGTAATTCATAAACACACGCAAAAAATACAAATCAACTCCAAATTTAGATTTTTTAAATCTAGACAGCATTAAAACACACCGGGCAACAAACTGTTTTTCCTGGCCACTGTCATGGTCCTTGAAACCAAAACGAGTAGAACGTGTCATCAAGTGATCAAGTCCTGTAAAAAAACTTCAAACAAACAAGACTGTCCGTAGGTCCATCTAATTTCTCTTAATTTGATTCCATGTTTCCCTCACTTGCGTCTTTTCTTCGCAAAACCACGTGAAGAGAGAGGAAGCAAGGGAGCTTTCTGATCGCTGCTGGGTCGGCTGTCAGTCGCTGCAGAGAGTTTTGATGGAGTTTGGGTTTGCAGACATGTTCGCTGATCTGCTACTAATACAAGGCAAACAGTTATCTCTGCCAGAGCAGCAGTGTGTTCCTGTTCCACACACACCTGCACATTAATAACCCTGCTCTCTGTAGTTATTCTGTGTCCTGCTGAGCTGACCTGGTATACCCGCAGAATGCCTTTAAATTATTCATTTTGAATTCATAATCTAATAATCCAGGATATGATCGTGGTATTTTCTGAACACTGACAAGGCTTCATTTTTTCAGGAAGAATTACAATAACTTGTTACAGTAGGCTGTTAAACCCAATGCTTCAAAGCAGAATGAAAATGAACATAAATAGGAATAAAATAATTATATAAAGGACGAAAGTTGTATGTGGTCGGTTTTGTTGTTCAGACGTATTATCACTTATTTTTAAATAGATGATACATGCTTTGAAAAAACACCCCCGAAAGATGTTGTAACAATTGAAATGGCCCTTGATAGGAAAAAGGTTCCCCAGCCCTGGTCTAAAGTAATCACAGAGTTGCATCCAGGTTCATGATCTCCTCTCTCAATTATATTACAATGTTTGTAGATATAGCATTAACAGTGATGAGTGGTGAGCTTTACTTTGGCAACAAGTAATGCTTTTTGTCCATCAGGGAACTCCGAAAGTCACAGAGAGTCGCAACTTCTAACGACACGCTCACCAAAGTGACTGCCAGACACCATTCTCTCACAAAGAACTCACAGTAGGTCCTCATTCTGTGTGACTGGCGAAGCCACACACAGTCTAGTGTTCGACATACTTATCTCATCTTATTCTCCTTCTTCCGCCACAAATGTTGTCATGCTACTCGTTGACACGAAACACACAAAAAACACATCAAAACGTGCGGCATGACCAGGATCACGTTGCTATGTCTTTTATGAGAGATTCGCCTAGCCGTTTTCACGCAAATCGCAGAGAACTGCGATCATTTGCCCCATAGGAATGAATGGGAAATCCATTTGAACAGAGCTCAAAAACACCCCACTTTGACCCCATACAGATTCCCCCTACTTTAACGTAGGACAACAAATACAATTTCAACGGTTCTCGAGAACCGTTTAACCCTAACCCTAATATCCAATTATTAGACTAATTGGATATTTTGATATAGCTAGTACAGTTCTCACGTAGCTTACGTTTTGTGAAAAGGTCACACTGTTTCACATTTTATAATGGGTGTGTATGGGAGAGCTGCTTAAGACTTAGAGTGGGTGACATCATGGCTAGAGGAGTTTTTTTCCAACTATTGCTCGGCTGGCCACCATTTTCACTCTTCATACATCATTTGGTGATCATATTATTGTAATCAGATCAATTTGTCACGGCCGCACAGATATGCTCATTTAATCAAACGGACACATATAACAAACACGAGAGTCATCAGGTGTTCATCTGGTATCCTAAATACTCTGGGTATATACTTAGCTGATTGGAGTTACAGTTTTTTACTTAGAAGCAATAATGGAGCACAATATTGTCTACATATTCTCTGACAGACTGTCTCTCGTTCACTGGCAGGGCGTTGCCGTGGAAACACTTTGGTCTTTGAACACACCTGTCGGTCGTTAACTAAATCCAGTGGTAATCTAAAGATGTTCAGAAACGATGCAGGAATGTGGTAAAAGAATCCGAAAATGTAATAGATAAACAGTTCAAATAGTCAGCTAAAATTAATGGATATATTTTTTGTTGTACCTTAACAATACAACTATGCTATTAGTACGTACTCAGCAGGGGTAATGTTAGCATCGGGACGTGCACCAGAGTTTCAGTCACATAGTCAACATGTCTCAATTTTCTAGTTCTACATAAAATTGAATAAATTAAACATTTGCATGATGCTGAACATATACGCTGTAGTGTATCTGCTTTTTAAAACCCTTAATTGGAAACTGAAATAAACCTCCTTCACATGGAATATTCCATTAGCAGTGTGTATTGAGTGAACTCACAGCAGAGCTCTTTGGTTCTCCAGTTTTGGGGTTGTCCACCAGCATGGCTGCACTGCCTGGATAACTCGGACACAGTGTTGCACAGACAGGCGGGGTCCAGCTGCTCACTGCCACCAGCATCACAGTGGCAGAGGTCAGCTACACAGGCAGAGGTAAAGGAGGCCACGTCCAGCAAACTGTGACAGCTGCTGAACGCCGGCCCAGTGAGGATCTGCTCACACAGAGGTCTCTGCAGACACACACACAAACAAACGCAGGACATGGTATGGTGGTCAATGTATTGTGAAGATGTTTTTAGGAAATACATTTATTTGCTTTAGTGCAGAATTAACTTTGATACCAGATTTGTAGGGTAGATATAAGGCTGGCTAGAAGAAGAAGAAGAAGAAGAAGAAGAAGAATTTTGATTTTTAAAACAAATTTTATTTGCATTTGTTTTAAACATACACCCACCCTGCAAAAGAGTCGGAACAGAACTAATACATTACACAATCAAATAAATAAACAGATTTTCATGACTACCAAATAAATATTATTTGAAAACCCCATTTGAAAAGCGTTTTACCCATTTAAAAACATCCTCTTTTACACACTTTAAAAACAAAAACTACACCTATCCTTTAAAACTTCAATATTAGAGAGTCATTCTCCCCCAGCGAGCACAGAACCTGCCCAACAGCCCACACATCCAGAAACCCCTGCAGATGATTGATCAGTGTATAGTACGCATGCTCCACCCTCAGACGCGCTGCCACCAACCCCCTCAGACAGAGCACTGCATCCGTCCATCCCACTCCAGCAAGTTGGTTCTTCCTACTTTTCCAGATTGCTAATTTTGCATTAGCAAACAAGAAATTCATCAAAAGTAGGGTTTCTTTCTTTTTCAGGATGTATTTGGGGCCATGGACAAAAAGTGGTATGGAGAAAACCTCCCCGAACCCTTCCACCCACCCCTGTAACATTTTTTTAAGACCAGCCAATCGGGGACAGGACACCACTAAATGCTCCAATGTTTCTGCCATAAAACAGAACGGACAGCCCCCCCTTGTGCCTGGGTCAAAATGAGCTCTGTATTTGTTAGTGGCTATTGCACCGTGTATAATTCTCCATTGGATGTCAGCCATCCTTTTCTCAACTGGAGATTTATACAGGATCCGCCAGCTGCCCTGAGGGGAAGAGCCCAAGCCAAACACATCCGTCCACCTCGACTCTCTGACGCCTGCGAGCGAGCTGAGGTTTAACACCTTTACACAGCTAAGGTATAGCTTCTTCCCATTGCAGGAGGTGAACTTTGCAGGTGTTAGAGTCCCCAGTGATAGCAGGAGACCATCCTCCTCTCTCCATTCCCCCACCGCAGGACCCACACTCAAGGCAGGAAAAACATAATCATGTCCCTTTCTCCACTGGTCAGCCAGATCTGCATTTAGAGAAAAAGTCCGGTGGGATGGCGACAGCGACTGCCACACCTCATCTACCAAGTTCTCCAGAACTCGGTTTGATCGAATGCCCGTCACCTCAGCCAGTTTTTCTGTGGAGACCCCCGTCAAATGGCCAAGTTTTACCACTCCCGCTTCAATGAACGCATTTTTTAGGGTGGCCGAAGAGAAAAGGGTTCCAGAAAGAAAACCAGTGTCAAACAGTAGCTCCTCAAACAGCCACATCCCAGGCCGGGGGTCAGGTGGTCTGGTAAAACTCAGAATCTTCCAGGCATTGATGACTGAGCAGTAAAAAGGTGTAAGTCCAGTTATCTTGTACGCAGGGGCCTTCAGCAGAAACAGGTGTTTATCAAAACCAAAGCCCCCTGCCCTCCAGAGCAACAGCCGGGCCATAGCCAGCCAGCCAGCAGGGAGAGGCACCATACAGCAGCCGCTGAGCTGCCTGCAGTCTAAAAGCAGCAGTCCTTGCAGTAATGTCCACGAGGCCCTGGCCCCCCTCTGCCACAGGCAGGTACAGGACCGATGCTGGCACCCAGTGATGACCCGACCAGAAGAAATCCACGAGGAGCCGCTGCAGTTGTTTCATGAGGCCCGGCGGTGGGGTTAACACCTGGAGTCTGTGCCACAGAGACGAGGCAACCAGATTGTTGGCTACAAGAACTCTTCCCCTGTAAGACAGCTGGGGTAGCAGCCATTTCCATTTGGCTAATTTTGCTTGCACCTTTCCCAGCAATCCCTCCCAGTTCTGTGCCACCATGTCCTCAGACCCCAACCAAACTCCCAGGACCTTTAAACCCTTGTTTCCCCAGCTAAGGTTACCAGGAAGACTGGGCCTATTTTCTAGACTCCACCGACCTACCAATACTGCCTCGCTCTTCTCCCAATTAACTTTGGCTGAAGCAGCCTTCCTATACAAAGCTAAACTGTCCTGTAGCTCCTGGATATCTCGCTGACCCTGGACAAAAACACTGACATCATCAGCATAAGCTGATACAACCACCGGGGGGGCCTGAGCTGACTCTGGCAGACACAGGCCCCTCTGACGGTTTCTAAGTCTGCACAAAAGCGGCTCGATGGCAATACTATACAATAGGCCTGAGATAGGGCAGCCCTGCCTGATCCCCCTTTTAACTGGTACAGGTCTGCTCAGCCCTCCCCCCACCTTCACAACACAGCATGCATCACTGTACAAACACTTCACCCAGGACAAAAAATGCTCCCCAACACCAAAAGCCTGCAATGTGGCAGCCAGAAACGTGTGATCCACACGATCAAACGCCTTCTCCTGGTCAATAGAAATAATACCAACATTTATATTATACAGTTTGCAAACATCAAAAGTGTCTCTCATCAAAAACAAATTGTCCACAATTGATCTGCCAGGGATACAATATGTCTGATCAGTACCGATAAGAAGTTCAATAAAACACTTCAGTCTGTTAGCTAAGACCTTTGACAGTATCTTATAGTCCGTACATAAGAGAGCCACAGGTCTCCAGTTCTTAAGCAGGGTTAGATCTCCTTTCTTAGGCAACAGTGAAATCACTGCACGCCTACAGGAAGCTGGAAGAGTCCCTTTCCCAAAGGACTCCATCAATACTTCTAGCAAGTCATGTCCCAGAATACTCCAGAAATGTTTAAAAAAGTCTGCAGGTAAACCAGTCTATGCCCGGAGCCTTGCCGGAGGCCATCTGTGTCACCGCAGAGGTCAATTCCACCAGCGTAATGTCAGAGCCCAGGGTGTCACTTTCAGCTGGACTCAGCTGTGGAAGACCCTGAAGAAGTTCATCAGCAGCTTCCACGTCACAACCTTCGGCTTTGAACAGGTCTGTGTAGAAGGACACTGCATGCCTCCTCATCTCAGCAGGTTCAGAGGTTACCTGTCCATCGGGGAGACGCAGACATACCATCTGCTTCCTTTGGCCCACAGACCTCTCCAGGTTGAAGAAAAAGGTGGTTGGTGCATCAATGTCTCTCATGGAAGTAAAACGGGCTCTGATCAGAGCTCCCTTGGCCTTCTCCTGAAGAAAACAGTTAAGCTGTTGTTGTTTTAGGAGGGACTGTTCTATATTTCGAGCAGACACACTCTCTAACTCTCTGATCTCCCTCTCTAACTGCTCTATAGCTCTCCTAATGTTTGCAGTGGAGTAGGCTGTATACTGTTGGCAGAACACTCTAATCTGAGCCTTTCCTACCTCCCACCACTGACTCAGGGAGGGAAAAGACTCTTTCTTTGATTTCCAGTTGATCCAAAATCATTTAAAATTCTCACAAAAAGTCAAATCTTGTAAAATGTTAACATTAAACTGCCAGAACGATCTAGGTTTCTCTGTGTTGGATAAAACCAAATCTAAAGAAACTAGCTGATGGTCTGTAAAACCAACAGGTTGGATGTGACAGTTCACTGCACGAGTAATAGAAGAAGCAGACATGTAAAATCTGTCTAGCCTGGCTGCACTGACGCCCCCATCTAGCATTCTCATCCAGGTGTATTGTTTAACAGAGGGGTGTTTCATCCTCCACACATCCACTAAGTCAGCCTCTCTTATCACCTGTGACAGTAAAAGGGACGACTGAGGATGCGGCTCCCGTCCTATTCTGTCTAAAGTGACATTAGTGCAAGCGTTCCAGTCCCCCCCCAGTATAACACACTCCCCCTGTACACTAGTGTCTAGCTCGTCTTTTAATAACTGAAACACAGATACACGTGCAGGGCCCTGATTGGGTGCATAAACATTAATAAAAGTGAAAAAGAACTCTAACAGTTCCACTTTCACCATCAAGGCTCTACCTGCCACTATCTCTGTGCTGGATCACATCTTAACATTTAGAGAGGGGGAGAAAAAAACAGCTACTCCAGCACTAAGGTTTGAGCCATGACTGAGTACATACTGACCCCCCCACCACATTCCCCAGTCCGTCTCATTCAGGCTATCACTGTGTGTTTCCTGCAGAAATATCACATCTAATTTTTTCTGATTAAAGACCTCCAACACTAAAGCTCTTTTCTGTGCACTTCTACCCCCGTTAATGTTTAAAGAAGCAACCCTTAAAGCCTGCATTAGAGGAAGGAGATAGAGAAAAACAACAGACAGGTACACACAGCAGAGAGGAGACACCCAGTGTTGCATGATCATTTTGAAACTATTTAGACCTTTTCAGTTTCCCCCCTTTTTTGCTTCCTTTCGTAACTTTTTTCATATTAGTACATGCTTCCTGAGACGATAGCGTCTCTTTTCTTCCAGCAGGTCTAACCCTACAACTTTCTGAAGAGTGCTCACTGTATGAAGAAACTTGTTAGTGTCAGGGGAAAAGTCTCTCACTTCCACTGCCTTGCCAAAGGACTCATCTAAAAAGACATTAATCTCTTCCAAAGAATATATCTCTGCGTTCTGAGAGAGACTATCTGCAACTGAAACACAGTCAGAATCCCCCTCACCGTCTGTGTCCATCTCTGTCACCTCATTATTGTCTGCAGCCTGTTGAAGCTCTTTTTGCCTCCCAGAACCAGACGGCAGCTCCTGCTGTGTGCCAACAGCCTCCACCTGTCCCACAGCACCAGTCCTGCTACATCATCTCCCACCCGTTTACCTGTTTCCACATTTTTTTCTCTCACACTCACCACACTCTCTACAATCCCTGTTTCATCTCTCACGATATTCATCCCTACTTCATCCGCAGCCCCTGGGGCCCCGGCGGGTGCAACAGCAGCCCCCGCGACACCGGCCTCCGCGGCCGCCGACCTAGCGGCCCCGGGCTCGGCGGCCCCGGGCTCGGCGGCCCCGGGCTCGGC